ATAGTGGGCGTGTCCTAACAATGATGTGTACGCAACTGCGTGTCTGCATATCTGCGCCTAACAAATGTGGTATTACGCACGACTGAAATTTTACGTTTATAATCGTAGCAACAGACCTCAGATGAGCCCAGACGCTCTGCGGCTCTTGTTTGATGAGAAATTGTGCATACCATTGAATCTCAAAAGGTCCTGTTTGGGAAAAATGAGCATGTTTTGTCAGGTAAGGAGGTAACATCAATGTGCTTACAAACAGCTAGTAATATACATACCGATCCCTCCCCCTGCATGTGGTGGTGCTCCATATCTGAAGGCATCAATATATGCTTTGATCTGCTCAAGGTCTGAAATTGTAAAATGTACTGTTTTTATGTTGCACTCGTTTGAAAACGTGTTTATCAATTCGTTGGTCCATTCATATAGACAATGCTCTAGATCAAGCTCTTGAGAGCTTGCGCGATACCAAACCACGCAAATATTGCACTATAGATGCAACAGCCGTGTCTTCCACAAATGATTAGGAATAAATACGAATAAAAAACCCAATCTTATTGAAACTAACCCCCTGACATTGTCCTGCGACTTGATGTTCATACACCTGTCATTGAAGATTGATATATATATATATACTATAATAGCCAGCCTAGTTAGATTGACGGGTCCTGAGCGTATACATACCTATGCCATGGTGTTTAGCACGCTCCGTGAGCAAGTCCGAGTCGTGGACTCGCTGGGCTCCTGACAAAATCTCTTCTCCCCTCATGAACATGTCGTAGGAGTTGGACCATTTCTATATAAAAACGAGTAGCCACTTTTCATTACATTACTTTACACTGTTTACAGAAGTGATAATTGAGGTTAAAACAACATTTGAAAAATCCAAATAGATTTAGCGCAATATTGCTTTTATTGTTTAACAACCATAATCTCAAGTGATGTACATCAGATGACACACTACGTCACCGTAAGTACATGTAATTCTGTTGATCGCCGTGACAACTTCTGACTGCTGATGCTTTCATTTTAGTGTATACTAACTCTGCAATCAACAAACTCACTTTATAAAATGCTAATTGTCGCCCTGCTACGTTTCTTCTGTTCTTGTCTTTTGCAAGACCGATCACAATAATGCACAAAGAAAAACACTCACTGGGTTGTTTGGGTCAGGCATGGTGTAGAAAGGTCTCACTGCTAATGGAAACTTGTCCAGAATGAAGAAGTCGGTGCCATACTGAAAACATATTTCCATAATTTCATTCTAATTGTTGTCTATGGTTTATATCAATGGCATCACATAATAAGCTGTGAAAACCTACATATGGACGTGCAGTGGACCTGTGCACCCATATATAGTGCCATTTTACTTGTATTAAAATAATATACAGTCAAACTTGTGTAAGCGGACAAATCTATAAAGGTCACTTGTCGATTCCATTGTAATGCAGTAGTTATAAAGTGAAACCACCCATTCAGAAGTTTAGAACCGACACCTATCTATGAATGACACTTGGGGTGTTACTTTAATGACCCTTATATACAGTTGTGAATGTATGAATGTAGAATTCTCACATGTGCCTGTAGTCTATCATGCAATTGATCACTCACCGACACCCTGATGCTTAACTCATGCAATCATCACATGAATTATCATGTGGTGATCATTTAAATCGTCACATCTCTGAAACCCTTGTCGCACACACACGAAGCCACTTCCTTCGTCATTACTCGGCCAAGCCACAAACATTTGCACTCGCCCCTTGGCAATTTCCCTAATCCTATAGCCCCAATACATAAACAACAAATCGTCACAACGTGCTTGTATTGCCCCATTACGCCTGCCCCGGCCCCGGTCCCAGCCCTGGCATACCTTCGCCTTGACGAGCTTTCCGAGCTGTTTCTCGGCCGGGGTCGTGAGGTCGTCCTCGTCGCCCATCTCGACGCCGACCTCACGCAGCATCGCGACGCCCTGCCAGAACTCAAGCCGCAGCGACGGCTCGAGGAACTGAAAGTCCTCGTGCGGAAACTGCTGCTTCACCGTCGAGACCTCGGTCGCATAGCTGCGGCGGGGAGGAGGGGGAAATATGTATGTGTGTATATATATACATAATACCAGAAGTAGATAATAGGGAAGGAGTGTGACTTCAATAAACAAGGGAAATTCGTCATTTATTAGCCTTAGAATACTACGATTTACTACGCGTAACTCAACCAATTTGAGCTCAAATCTACACAGTACATTCGCCTAGCATCGTGCAAAAATCGTTTCCTCGTATACACCCGCAATCCGGAGATACAGACTAAAACGTACGACCACGATTCTCATTCTGTTGCCAGCAGATCAACTCCATAACCTGCCTAACTTGAAACAATAGGCAGCTACTACGACTCTAGCGCCCTCAGCGATGCGGTGTGGCTCGCTGGGAGACTGGACATCGACGCAATACTCGGCAGCTAATCTTTGACGTATTTACAGCTGGTATGCCCCACGGCGCGCAACGCGCGACGCGCAATTCAGGCAGGCAAGGCAGCTCCAGCTCCAATCTCCCAGCGAGCCACACCGCATCGCCGAGGGTGCAAGAGTCGTTAGTAGCTGCCTATTCGTTAAAAACTGCTCCCAACATGCGCCACAGGCACAGTGGCGATAAACGATCGCTAGGACCGCTCCCCGTGATACAATTTCCGAATAAACCGAAGGCTAGACTTGACCCATATTAAAATGTTATTCGGTCATAGACTATGCCAACATTCTGCTCGCTGACCTGCCACGGAGTCCCTTGAAGATCTCGACAAACAGCTGTCCGATGACATCCAGCACCTCGTGGTAGTGATAGTTAAACGCCATTTCCATGTCAAGACCGACAAACTCTGTCAGGTGACGGTGAGTGTTCGAATCCTCCGCACGAAACACTGCAAAAGCACGCATACAGTCAAAGCTGCGTTACAAGCACCTCTACAGAACATGTCTTGTCTACGAAGAAAACGTTCGGGACATTTTTGTGGTTTTCCTTGAGTGACCCTTGATATACAGGTTTTACTCTACACTTGACAAGAACATACTGAGGCTAAGTGTGCTGTGATCATACGTTTCCTACATCGCACTTTAATTCGACCGTTCAACCACAACCAAGGACAAAGGACATAAGTAGGTATAATTATCTACCAAGATTCCCCAGTGTTGAAAATACATCCAGATTTATTAGCGTAAAGCAGCTATATATAACGATGAGTAAAAGCGCCTTACAAATAAAAGCAATTGGGATTAATAGTTATTATGATTAACAATGAAGAATTGCATTAAGAAAACTAAGACATTAAGCAAAGGCACACAGTGGTATCCATAGTGAAATCTACCTTGTCCAACAGTGAACACCTTGTCAAAGTCTCCCGCGATGGCCATCTGCTTGTACAACTGTGGAGACTGCGCCAGGTAAGCGCTACTTTTAAAATAGCTCACTTGAAACACGTTGGCCCCTCCCTCACTCGCAGCTGTAAGCATTAACACAGTAAATAACAGGATGAGAACGTATAATGTAACTTAGAAATCAAATATTATGGGATTATCTAGTAGTGATGCCCTTCACCCAAAATAAAATCTGAATATCATTATTCACAGCAAACAATACTAACTATGCAATAAATATTTCCAAAGAGTTCAATTTATATTAAAACCATATATATTTCCCATTTATACTTGCATAACCCTGTAATTCTGAATCGGGTTACAGAAAACACAAAATTCCCAAGGCGAGTCTCTCAGCGCGGACACAGGCAGAAATGGAAAGCGACTGGTGTAGTCGATACATATTCACGGTGCTCGCGGGCAGAGACGCGGTGGGTACCTGATATGATCTTCGGGGTGTGGATCTCGTTGAAGCCCCATCGGGCGAGTGTGTTTCTAAACAGCGCGCAGATGCCTGCCTGCACGCGGTATATCGCCTGGTTGCACGGCGTTCTAAGGTCCAGCACTCGGTTGTCCAGCCGCGTGTCTTGGTGAACTGTCGCTCTCTCGCTGTCCTGGCACGTCAACAGAAATGCTATTTAAGGACAGCCTTTATAAATTATAAAGTATTTTTATTTATTTTTTAATTTATAAATAATTTATTATTATTACTATTTATATATTTATAAATTATACTTCTTTATTAATATTAGAAATGCACACGTGAAGGGAATTCGAGATGCTACATGAAGCCTCAGTGAAATTGCAGGTTATAGCTATCATTTTAAAAAGTGAACGGAAAACACGGCAAACGGCAAGAAAATAGGTATACTTACACCTGAATGTCATAACCGTGCTCCTTTACATTTCCCTATCATCTCATTCGAACAAAAATGCATGCAATCCACAATTTTACATGATTGTTTGTTACAAACAGTCTACACATGAGCAACTGCTGGTCAATCAGCTGGTTAGTGAACATTACCTCCTCTGACAATGGTCTCGCTGCATCCTCAATCTGTAGTGGTAGTCTTGGTTCAGCAGAACTCACTACGAATATCTGAAAGCATGAAGAAAATTGGTTACAGGAACTGCAAACATTCAGAATAACTGACCAACAATGAACCTCTTTGCTGCATGATATCGAATACAGTTAACTGTATACCTGTAACACCCAGATCTCAGCATCTTGTTGTGAGCAGCCCTCTATTTTCTGTGGCGTCTTTTTTACCACTCCTTCTACATCAATTATGGATTCCTTTGTTACTCTAAAACCAAAAATTCCATCAACATTTCCCTTTACTACGATGGTCATTACATCAATGATTCATGACTTTTTCGGACATTTTGTAAAGGCATGTGATATGACAATATCAGGAGTAGATAATAGAGATTATCTCTATTATCTATTATCACTCTCTATTACACTCACTATTATCCACTCCTGACAATATTCACCCTACATATTCACCCTACATATTCACCCTTGTTAGTACTTACGCTCCTGCAAACTTGACCATCTGTTTGCTCACTTTGTCATTGACTGCTGCGACACATTGAATCGTAAACTGCCTTTGCCTTAGAACGAAGAAACACTGCTTCCCTAAAAGAATCAAATACATATAGTTCTGCTTTCATGATGGTACAAGGCAATACAGTGTATCGCCACCTTTTTCCCCACTGCTATACATTTGTTAATATCAGCGCACAAATTATGTGAAAGTATATACTATATACCAGCTGCCTGTCACTGCTTCTGATTAAATTGAAGGTTTTAAACTCATTTAATCCGAGCAATGACTTTAGTTTAGGGTATCCGCACGATTGATGGTAATAACAATTCTTGCATTCACATGCGTGAGCTTTCACCCCCATATACTTGTTAAAATCTATATATGGCATGAACCAATGGAACGTAATTACCATTTGTTTAAAATAATTTTAATAAACAATTATATTGTTATTACAGTACCAAGTTACCAACTACATACCTTTACCCCTACTGGTGTGCAAACGGCCTCTGATCCAAACAGTCTGCTCCCCCTGTTCAGCACTCAGTGTATGAACCCCGACTAGTGTTCTAGTCAACCGTGTAGTGGACTGAATCATTTTCATCACGCCATAGCTTTCCTTCGAGTAATCTTCAGTCTCGACTTCAGCCGTTGTGGCCTGTCAAGCACATATTTAGAGCAAGTCAAATATGTATGCATATGATCTCTGACAAAGATAAACATTGACACCGTTCTTACTTGTATATAAAATTGGATTTTCATTGAAGCTAGTATATTAACATTTATTTGAACCAAGTATATAGTTAAAGGCAAATTTGTTAGTGTTGTTTAACTATTTAACAGCTATGTGCCATAAGTAACACTTATTTACATAAGTAGTTACATAACTCCATAAAAGTTATTAAGCCATAATCGCCACAATAACAAATTGTTGTGACTATAATTCTTACATCTTGTGCAGCCTTCTTCTCTGCTTTCTTCAGTGCCTTTTCTGCCTCTTTCTGTTGTTTTTTCACTGCTTTTTTAGAAATTGGGGTTCCATCTGGCCCAGATTGATCTGCCATGGCACTATTTTCTTCTTACTAAAATATAGGTACAAATGAAGACTAAAATTTAACAGCATATTTTACACTATATACTTTCAATTTTACTTACATAGCTCGCCTTATTCTAGCACAAAAACATAAATTGATTATATATATAGACTAACCCATATAATCCCCTTGCTTTTTGTGACCTCCCCTCCTTACTCATGTTTTCTGAATCTCTCTAAATTTATTTACTCTCCTTCACACAATTCCTTATTCCAGCTCTCTTTGTCACTTTCACTCTCACTCTTGCTCTTCTCGAGCGGTTAAGATTTGTGCCCAACTGTTGACGCACGGACGGACGGACGATCATGCGATTCTACAAGCTGCATCTGACTACGTCAGATGAGCTAAAAACGTTATTAGAACGTTACTGAATAATGTTCTGCTAACCTAAAAGAAACATTCCCATAACATTCAAGGAACATAACTTTGTTAGCTGGGTAGTATTACTATGAGAGTTTCACGTTTACGATACATCATATACTGAGTACTAGTATTAGTATATGTATCATGATTGTCTTCATGATTCCACGCATTGACCATTGGCATTGACAGGCATTGACATTGTGATTGTGAATGGGTAAGACTAATCCCCGGGCACTCTGGCAGGGCGAGCCCACAGTGTAGGGGTGGTCGGGTAGATAAGATAAGATAAGATAAATTTATTTTTTCACTTCCAATATGATAAGATACAAGAATTTTTTTTTTTTTTACAAAATATACATAACGTGCAGTGAAGGGATGGCGAAAAGACCATACGGTCATCTAGTCAGCCAACCCTTTGAGAAATTAATTAAGTGTAAAGGCGTCTGTCATAAGAATACGTGATGTATTATGAGAAATATTTGGACAAAATGTTTGTATTCTAACACTAGTAACAGTGAAACAAAAGCAAAATTGAACAAAGTTGGAAATAGAACAGGCAGCAGACATGAAGTTATATACAAAATAAGGACACATATAAATTACAAATTATATGAACACATATAAATGAAATATGTGGGGTAATCAGTACAGTACAGTAATCGAATATTTACATGCTAATAAAGAATAACTTAAGCTACATATATTACAATGTATGGCAATAACATAATTAAATGTATGAAAAACTAATCAAAATAAAAAACAAACAAAAAACAGAACGGTTTTTCAAACTGAACATACATAGGTGGAACAAAAAAATAGCATATAAGGAAATATACTTATCAAGAATATATATAAAGCAGTCACATAGGATAGGAAAACATACGTTAGATTTGACAATTAATAATTAAACTTGCAAGAGTAATCTGTATCGTAGTACAGTAAGCAGTATGTACAGTAATAGCATATTTGCATGGTAGTCAAAATAAACTGAAATGGCCTATGTTACAATTCATGTAATGATTGAATGTATAAAAATATAACATAAAAAACAAAACAAAGAAAACAATCAAACTAAAGTACAAGACCACACATACAAGCAAAATATCTAGAATCTAGAATAAAGTTGCGAATCAAAATTGACTAGGTGCATGTAGTTAATCATGAAGAAGTGTACTGTTGAATCATGTGTGCCTTGTACGCATAGCTGAACTTTTTGATGGTACACAATTTAGTAATTGTATTAAGGGAATTCCAAAGTTTTGCTCCTGCAGATTTGATGGATTTAAAACCAATATTAGTAGATACTCTAGGGATAAAGAATAATTGGTTAGTTGCTGCTCTAGTTTGATAATGATGTGTATCAGAAGTTCTAAACAAAAGTTGCAAAACAATTCAGGGAGAGTCCTAGCTCCAAGAAACGGTATTGCTAGGGTTAGAATACCCGTATACTAACGTCCCGTTGACT